CCTTAAAATGATTCCCTCCACTTGCATTTCATTGACCAAAACACAGATGCATGGCCACACACGGCCACAAGGGCAGTTAACGAATGGTGTCTTTGTTCAAGGAATAAGTATACTGGATAACTGTGGGGCTAATTAGGAAATCAATAAAGAAGAAATATTTGATGGGAAGGAGTAGTTTGTGATACAGATCTCTTCTGGTCTCAGTCACTAGCTCCATTACCACATTTGACTTACAGCCTTCATTCTGAAAATAACTAGGAAGCAGACACTGGAAGAAAGACTGACTCCTATCACAGCTGCTCAAATCCTTGTTCTTAAACACCACCTCGTTCACTCAACCTTTATAGGTTCTTCCTCTTGCTATCTGCTCCCCAGGAACTATCCAGGCACTTGTGCCTCTTTTTGGTTTGCACCATTTTTACCTTCCATCGTGGTTATTTGTGCGAGTTTACATTTTCCCACTAGAATGTAGACATCTTGAGGACAGAGTCTTTTTTTGCAATCATGTCTGTGGCCTCCTGATGTCTAATACAGCCTAGGGGTCATTATTTGTTTCATGGGTGAATGACTGCCTCATACCTGTGGGAAAGGAGTGACAGCCTGGCTTGTGCACGCAGACACACAGGGAGCTGTCCCTGTTATCTTTAATGGTTGCAAAGATGATGCATTGTGGAGATTATTTCATTCTGTTAAGAGGATTTGGTAAAGGAGGAAAATTAGTTTGTTTGGAGACTTCAGGAAGCTTTTTTAATATAGGTGATGTGAGAGTCTCAAGATTTGGGATAAAGTCTTACCCCAACCTGCTCACGAAAGCTGAGCATCTGCAAAACTCGCCATTACTGAATGACATGGTGCAGAAAGGCTGTTAGGGAAAGCTAATGCCTATACAGCTGGTGTAATGAAGAAATGGGAGGTTTAGGCACGGGAAACCGCAGCTCCAACAGAAGGGGCTGAAAAGATATAGATAAGATTAGTGACATATGTAAAGGCCCAGATACTGTGTGACAAAGTCTACCCAGCTGAATAGGCTGAAGCCAGAAGTAATAGGAAGGCCATGTTCCCCCTAATCCTCCCAGATAAGCTGTTCCATCCAGAATTATCAGCCAACAATCTTCAGGGTATCAGGCTGAAAATGAAGTTTCAGACTGCTTTGATTCCTCATCCATAAATGAGAAAGTGCCTGAAGGATCTTTATTTATTCTCGCTCCCACCGAAACACTCTTCAAAAAGTGCCAATATACTAGCAACAGATGCATAAAGCCTCCCTTCCTTTGATTGACAGAACATGATATAAAGCAACCCTCACTTGACATTTCAGTTTCATAAGGCTCCTAGCAGGGGGAAGAAAAAAAGATCTTGAAAAAAAAAGCCACTAGAAAATAAAGAGGATTTATGCAAACTCACATGAATGTTTTCAGAATCAAATTTAACAGTTTTATTTCTCTGCAGCCCTTATTTGATATCTGGGGTTGCAGATGAATAATTTCAGCAGGAGTGGTTTCAGCCATGTGCTTATTAATGTTTATGGCTTATTAAAACAAAGTATTTACATGTTAATGTTTGTTGATTACTGGATGTTAAAGTTGTTTAGTTATAAATGATTGGGATATTCACTCTGGGGAGAAGATATTTAATTTGGTGTTGTGTGTGCTTTAATTTAGATTTCAAAATAAGCAATTGAATGAGAAAATGTCATCCACACCTATGCATTTCAGTTTTGAAAGGTCATCCTGTGGTTAGTTTGTACATTTCCAAATTCTTGTCACATTGCTCAATAAGATATTAAAGTCAACTGCACCTCTCTACATATTTCTTGCAATTGACATATAAATGTTCTCTTTGAAATAAGAACTGAATTTAATGCCTACATATTTCTTAAGGAAGAAGGGTTGAAAAATCTTCCAGATGAGCTCTCCAGAAAGATACTAATTCTTTTCATTTTATCAAAGGAATTTCTTTTTATGCTTAATTTCTGAGTTGTTTTCACAGCTTTTCTGGAGTTGGAGCTGTTCCTGCACTGTGGAAGCCACAGTATACGAGGACTCCTGCATTTTCCTGACAAACATCAAAGCCACTTTGGATCTCGGAGTTCACTTTACGTCACTCAAAGAGCATTTCCAATGGAAATCCTCAGACTGCAAACAAAATGTAGGGTAACAGCAAGAGAAAGAATATACCAAATTTGACAGGCCTTGGCCAGATGAAAGTCAGTTTCATTTCAAACAAAATTTACTTACCTGTGTCCACTTCTCCTTGCCCCAGTTTCCAATAAGTTAAACAGTAGGAAGCAAACGAGTGTTGCTAATAGTTGTGTTAATTTTTCTCATAGTATCAGTCATATTACTCTGAGGAGGGAGGTGGCTTAAAATTTGGATGATTTTACCAGAATGAAATGGAAACCTCAGGGGAAGAAATGGAATGGCAGTGTTCCTAGTAATAGTACTTTTGCTGGCACACAGACACTCTCAGAGAAGCCAGAAATAAGTTGTTGAATTATCCTCCACGCCCCTTTTACTGATGGGAGGAGAGACTGTTATAATGTTTCCAGATTTCAACCAATCACCAAGGAACTCTATGAACTCCAAGGAAGAACACTCTTCACCTTGGAAGAGAAAGATCTGTCTAAATTCCTACAGAAACAAAAAGATTTGGACCAAAAGATGGAACAGAGAGTATATAGACAGAAGTATGAGGGTACTTTAAAGTTCATGGAAACAATTAAACTATGTTTATTTTGGTGCAAAAAATTTTTGAAATTCATGTATAATTTTGTTGTAGTATACATTTTCCATGGACTTCTTTTTTAAAGATTTGTTTATTTATTTGAGAGGCAGAGGCAGAGAGAGAGAGAGACATCTTCCATCCACTGGTTCACTCCCTAAATTGCTGCAACGGCCAGAGATGAGCCAATCTGAAGCCAGGATCCAGGAGTTTCCTCCAGGTCTCCCGTGTGGGTGAGGTCCCCAAGGACTTGGGCCATCTGCTGCTGCTTTCCCAGGTGCATTAGCAGGGAGCTGCATTGGAAGTGGAGCAGCAGGGACTCAAGCCAGCACCCATATGGGATTCTGGCACTGCCAGTGGTGGCTTCACCTGCTACACCACAGTGCTGGTCCCCACAGACTTTTTAAGACTCTCATGTTTACATAAATTTAGAAGAATTATTTTTAATGATAAATTGCTGTATCCTCTTTCATGTAGTATTGAAATATTCTCATTATAATAATTCAAATGATACATGTAAGTTGAATGGAAGAACATGGAATGTGGTAGATTATTGAGGATATAGATTTAAGCCACAGAAAAAATATTTAGCTAAATCATTTTAGATCCTCTTGATATGCTCAACTATGAACTCTGAATCAGGAATAAATCATTAAAATTTAAAGTATATATAAAACTCACTCTTAAGAAGTTCAAAGCTTGACTACCAAAAACATCATTGAGAATATATTTTGATTAACCAATCAATGCCTCTGTCTCCTTCTATTTATTTTATTAGTGTACTTGGTGATTAAATAAACTGTATCATGACACAAATATCTTCTCTTTTCATTTAACCTTCATAGATACTACCAAGATAATATAGGCTAGGAGTAGGGATGTGGCAGTAGGAAATTTCATCCTCTCCAGAAAATGTGAAAATATCCTGAAGTATATGAGGAATCTGCCAAGAGTCCATGGCAGGGTGTGCATTCAGTATAGTGGTTAAGTATAGTGCGTCCACATCCCACAGGGGAGCACCTGAGTTCAGTTTCATCTCCTGCTCCTGATTCCAGCTTCCTGTCAATGCACAGCCTGGGAGGCAGCAGTGATGGCTTAGTGGTTGAGTTCTTGCCACCCACATGGGATGTATGAATTGGGTTCCTGCCTCTTAGCTTCAGACTGGCCCAGTCCTGGCTGCTGTGAGCATTTGAGATGTGCACCAGCAAATTGCTCTCTTTGTCTCTGTCTCTCTCTCCTTTTGTTTCTCAAGTAAATGAAAAGTACAGAAAATATTTCAAAGTTCCTGAAAAACACATGGATTTCAAGATGCTCTGCACCAAAATCTTTTATTTCAATTTTTCAACCTTTTGGAAGTACTCTCATGTTTCATCATAATTTAACCTCAAATAAGGAGAGACATTTAAAATCATCAGTCAGTGTTAAATCTGGTTGGTATAGAAGTTTCTCCTAAGAATTAATAATGCTTTTTTTTAATGTTTTGGTGAGACTAGAATTTTGCTTATTTTATCTCATTCAAGTTTCATAATAACCATAGGAGATGAGCACTATCATAATCTCCATTTTATGTGGAGGGAAATTGAGGTTTCTTTCGGAACCCAACTGAAAAAGGTTAGGTAAATTGCCCAAGACCACACAGCTAATTAGTAACTGAGTCCAGCTGCACATTCAGCTCTGTCTGGCTATACGCCCAGCCTGTGGTTATGACTTTATGTCGTTAGTTTCTAACTCTTTCGGTTGGGAGTCACTTCTACACATCTCTTGCACACACACACACACACACACACACACACTTACTTTGTAATGGGGTGGAGAAGCAACTATACCCTATATTATTTAGTTATAAAACTTCTGGACCTGTAGGCATGATGAAAATCTTTCTGATTTTACAGTGTGTGCAGAATTGCCACAATGTGATTATACATATGGTATCTATTAGTGTGGATATGTGTGTGTGCACATGTGTGTGTTTAAAGGTCATTCCATCTCTCTAAAATCTACTCTCCATGGATAAGCATACAAGCTTTGCTAAAGGCAGCATGTCAGAACAACACTTATCATTTCAGGATAAGCACAAATTAAGTCGACCACCTAAAATGCAAAAACTTCAAATATACAGAGTGGATTGCAAAAATAGCCATTTAGAAGAGAACTGTTGAATAATTCATGCCATGCTATATAGGCAAGCCTTGTATTCAGTTGGCACTGGTACAAGTCACGCACAAGCTGATGCATTTTACTATAACCCATGGTCACTATTTATTGCCCAAATTTCTTACCAGTGTGTAACGTTGCTTGTAGAAGGACCAGATCAGAATGTGGATGAAGCAGTGAAGATTCTCCTACTCCTTTACCAAGCCTCCTGTATGAGTAAGCAAGGACAATGTTTACAAATAAATATTATGCTTTTTTGAAGATAAATATGAGTATATCCTCATTGGTATAGAACAGGCATTCCTTAGTCAAGGAAGGATCACTGAATTAGCACCATACATGAGGTACTTCAAAAAGGTCATACAAAAAATTGAATTGAAAGATAAATGGGGCCAGCACTATGGCAAAGCAAGTAAAGCCACCACCTGCAGTGCCAGCATCCCATATGGGCATCGATTCTAGTCTCGGCTGCTCCACTTTTCTAGCTCTCTTTTGTGGTCTGGGAAAGCAGTAGAAGATGGCACAAGTTCTTGGGCCCCTGCACCCACATGGGATATTGGAAGAAGCCCCAGGCTTCTGACTTAGGATCAGCCCAGCACTGGCTGTTGTGGCCATTTGGAGAGTGAACAAGCAGATGGAAGACCTCTCTTTGTCTCTCTGCCTCTGCCTCTCTGTAACCCTGCCTTCTAAATAAATAAATAAAATCTTAAAAAAGGAGAGAGAAAGATATTACAGGAGTGGGTGTTTAGCCTAGTCATTAATACGGCCATTTCCCACAACGGCACGCCCGGGTTCTGTGCTCAGGTCCAGCTCCTGACTCCAGCTTCCTGCTAATGCAGAACACAGAAGGCAGCAGTGATGGGTCAAGTTCTTGGCACCCATGTGGGAGACCTGCATTGTCTTCCTAGCTCCCAGCTTCAGCTCTGGCCTTGCCCCCACTATTGCCAACATCTGAAGAGTGAATCTGTGGATGGGAGCCTACTCTTTCTGTTTATGTGTCTTTCATAGTCAATAAATAAGCATTTTTAAAAAGACCACACATTTTCCAGGAATTATTTGAACACTCCTCATATGTTCATTATGGCAAAGTCCCTTTGAAGGTGTGGTCCCTTCCTGACATATGCTCAATCATTAATGGTGCCTAAAATGGTCCTTATGTAGAAAGACACAATAAATATTTGTTGAATGAATGGATGGATGGAGTCACCATATGCCGTTGGGCCTTGTTCCTTCTGCATACTTGACATATCAGTGCAACCTCTTTCCCTATCTCCAGAGACTGCTTTCTTTCACCTACTACAGCTGCATCCTGAACTTCTTGCTGTTTTTAAGATTTATTTATTTGAAAGTTGGAGATACAGGGAGAAAGATCTTCCATCTACTGGTTTCCCCCGCCCTGTTAAAACTTTCCCTTAAAGGATCCTTGAGCCACCATTATCCTCAGATTTTTTCCCCAAGAAATCTTTTATTTAATGAGTACAAATTTCATAAGTACAACTTTAGGAATATAGTGATTCTTCCCACCATACCCACCCCTGCACCCATCCCACCCCCTCCTCCCTCTCCCATTCCCAGTCCTATTCTCCATTAAGATTCATTTTCAATTAACTTTATACACAGAAGACCAACTCTATACTAAGATTTCAACAATTTGCACACACACACGTGCGCACACACACAAAAAAACTGAGAACAAGTTTTACAGTTAATTCTCATAATAGAATTCATTGAAGACAGAGGTCCTGCATGGGAAGTGCACAGTGACTCCTGTTGTTAATTTAACAATTAACACTCTTATGTATGACATCAGTGATCACCCGAGGCTCCTGATATGAGCTGCCAAGGCTATGGAAGCCTTTTGAATCCACAATCACCATCAACATTATTTCAGTTAATGTATTCATAATAAATACCTATATAAGACATGAAACATTCTTCCTCTTCTTCAAGATTACCTGTGATTCTTGTTAGCACCTCTACATAAATTTTAGAATTAGGCAGTCAATTTCCAGAAGACATCAGATTTTGAGTGGAATTTCATTGAATCTTTAGGTAAATTTAAAGAGAATTTAGGTCTTTTTTTTAAATTTACTTATCTATTAATTTATCCATTCAAAACTTAGAGTGGCACAGGAGAAGAGACAGAGTGAGAATGTGTGTGAGAGAGAGAGAGATCTTCCATCCTCTGGCTCAGTCCACAAAATACAACAGCCAGGTCTGGACCAGGAGGAAGCCAGGAGCCAGGAACTCCATTTGGATCTCCCACATGAGTGGCACAGGACACAGATACTTGGGCCATCATCCATTTCTTTCCCAGGTAAATTAGGAGGAAGCTGAATTGGAAATGGAGGAGCAGGAACTGAAATCCAGAATTCTGATACAGGATGCTGGCTTTGCAATTTGTAGCTTCACCCCCTGCACCATAAGGCTGGCTGCAGAATTTACCTCTTAATCAACAGTCTCCTAATTCTTAAAAATGGTATATCCATTTAATCATTTAGGTATTTTAATCTTATCTTAGCAATATATTTTGTTTTAGTTTACTATACAGAAATTTTGAACATCCTTTCTTTTTTTAAAAAAAATAGTTTTCTTTATTTCACATTACTTTTTTTTTTTTTTTTTTTTTGACAGGCAGAGTGGACAGTGAGAGAGAGAGACAGAGAGAAAGGTCTTCCTTTGCCGTTGGTTCACCCTCCAATGGCCACCGCGGCCAGCGCACCGCGCTGATCCGATGGCAGGAGCCAGGTACTTATCCTGATCTCCCATGGGGTGCAGGGCCCAAGCACCTGGGCCATCCTCCACTGGACTCCCTGGCCACAGCAGAGAGCTGGCCTGGAAGAGGGGCAACCGGGACAGAATCCGGCGCCCCGACCGGGACTAGAACCCGGTGTGCCGGCGCCGCTAGGTGGAGGATTAGCCTAGTGAGCCACGGCGCCTGCTGAACATCCTTTCTTAACGTATCCTTAGATACTTGATATTTATAATACTTACACATATCTTCTTTCAATTCTAATATCTAGTGATTTATCATTAATATGTAGAAAAATAATGATTTCTTCTACATCAAATCCCGTTTTTATCTGCATCATTTTTAGATCTTCTATATACACCATTCCATTATCTGCAGATAAGATGTTTTTCCCACATCTGTTTTCCCTTATCTTTATGCTTTTTATTTTTCTTGCTGACTAGGACTGCCAGTATATTAGATAAAAGTGATGATAATTGATGACATTATACCTTCCCAAAATTCAGGGTAAAAAGTTTCAACTATTTAACAGATTATTTTTGTATATTTTTAAAGATACTCATTATGAGATTGAGGAAGTTCCTTTCTATTCTTAATTTACTGAAAGTTGTTTTTTTTTTTTTACTAAGAATAGCATTAGCTTTTACCAAACATCATTAATACATCTATTGACAAGACTATATGCATTTTTCTTTTATTCTATACATGAAGCCTATTTCATTGATTGACATTTCAAATGTTAGACCAATCTTGTATACCCAGAGAATTTAAATTGAATTCAATTATTCTTTCTACATATTTCTGGATTTAGCTTGCAAAGATCCCATTTTGAAATTTTGCTTCTATGTTAATAAGAAATGCATCAAATACTTGGCATCTGCTTCTGAACTAGTAGCATCAAGTGATTTCCTATGGATGTTTAATTAACCAGAAAACTAGCAATCAATACTCTTTTATAAAATATTAAGGCTTAGACATCCATGAGCAAATGCAGCCCATGATCCAGGAATCTGCACAGGAGTGGTACTGTGGAGGCACTGGCTTCATACTTTGCACACATGTCTCTGAACCCACAGGTTCCTCTTGTAGAGAGGTATAACAGATCCATGTAATGGTCTGCTTCAGGATACAGTCAAACTCCTTTAACCTGTGCATACCAAGCCTGTGGATCCTGGGGTCTGTATACCCCTCTCCCCTCACAACTCACTCTTTTCCCTAGTCTCCTGCCCCTGCCTCTTGTATTCAAGATGGTTCAGATGTACTGACTTCCTTGTACTTACTTGAATATGCCAAACGTTCCCTAATCTTCTACATGAACTTGAATATTTCCAAGCTTTCACTCACCTTGGTGACTCCATCCTGCTTCTCTTTTGGAGGTTCCTACTTTTTCCATTCAGGATCAAGCTAAAGTTTTCTCTTGGTGTGTCTTATACAGGGATATCATTGAAGATAGCTACTATCCCTTACTCATCTTTTTAGCTGATAAATTTGACCAGTGTACAAGAGGCACTCTAGAACACTGTTTGCATGAACTAATGAAAATACATTTACTACAGAGCTCCTGTGTCCGCTGACCATCTCAGTATAACAACCAAAGACCAAAAGATAATTGAGAAAAGCAAAACTACAACTAACTTACTCACAAATCAGCAAATAGTCATTGAAAATTAATAATTGATGTCTTCATACTTTCCAAATGCAGGGTAAATACTTTCAATAATTTAATCTTCAATTGATAATTTTTTGTATATATCTGACATTTATATATATATATTTTACTAGGCACTGTGATAGCTACAGGCACTGTATGAGGTGAGACTAATCAACACAGTGAGGAAAAATGGATTAAATTTAAAATCAAGAATGGAAGGATTGGGCACTTGATGCAGTGGCTAAGGCACTGTTCAGAACACCCACATCCCATACAGGAGTACAAGGATTCAAACCCCAGCTCTACTTCCAATGCCAGCTTCCTACTAACTCATACCTTAGGATCAGCAGGTGATAATTCCCTGCTGACTACATGGGAAACCTTGAATTCTTGGCTCCCAGCATTTGAGCAGTGAACCAGCGGACAGAAGATCTTTCTCTATCTCTACCTTTATCTCTCTCTCTCTCTCTGCCTTTCAAAGAAAACAGCAATAAATATATTTGTAAATAAATAAACATTTTTTAAAGTGAACAAAGGAAAGAACATTCACAAAAGGCACTCAGCTCTGGACAGAGAGCCTGGGGAAGCTCACTTCAGAGGGATTTTCAGGGCAGCCTCTCTGAGGTGGTGCCCAGTGAGCAGCTGCTGCAGAAAGAGGAGCCCATCGAGATTCTTACCCTTAAACAGTTCTGAACCCGGCACTTAACCCATCGTAATTTTATTTGGATGTTTTCACATCAGCAGCTCTCAAAGTGTTGTCTAGAGACCTGTAGGGTCCCAAAACCCTTTCAGAGGAGCTGTGAGG